GCTGCAGTATGACAGTGTTAGAAATCATCATCATCATCATGTAGCAGGTCTTTTGCAGAAAGTTGCTCTCATCGCGGTCTGCCTGAAAGAAACTTGGCCTCTAGCCAGCTCTCCCGCCTCATGTACTTCCATACTCAAGGAGTTACTTATATCCTCTGCCCATCTTCGTGTTGGTCGGCCCCTGCCCCTCCTTCCTGGTACCATGCCATCTGTTATTACTTTTCCCAATCTGTCGTGACGCTTGATATGACCAAAATTTTCTAGCGCCTGAGACAAGATGCTGTTTACTAGAATACCTTCCTTGATGTTCAGATCTTTCAAGATGTCCGTATTTCTCCTCTTCTTTGTCCAAGATATTCTGAGAATCTTTCTATAGCATTTCAGCTCAAAAGTCCCTACTTTCTTTCTTAAGGACTGGGAGATAGTCCATGACTCACACCCGTATGTTGCTATAAAAAAGATGCATGCTCTCAAAATTTTTTTTTCTTTTCTTTCTGGTGCTTAACCATAAACTTTTAATAATGTTTATTGTTGTTATTGCTATGACCATCCTCCTTTTAATTTCTGTCAAAGGTTTCCATTGTTATTTATTACAGAGCCTAGATATTCAAAGTTTGTGAATTTTCAATTTCTTCATCATTTATTATTATTTGTCAGTGAAAGCCAGTTTTGTCTGTGGACATTATTTTCGTTTTCTTTAAATTCAACAATAGGTCTTGATATTTATTGTGTTTCTGGACAGACATGATTCAATTTTCTATTCCCTTTACATTATTCAAAAAGAAGACTGTGTCATCTGCATAACCAAGTTCTGGAATAGGACTGCCACCAACTATGAGCAGTTCATAACTGTCACAAGTCTGGTCATTTTCTTAACATTTCTCATGATGTTTTCTGCGTATATAGTGAACTGGTATGGTTACAGAATACACACCTGCCTCATTTCCTTTTGCACCCCGAACCAATCCAATGTTTCACAAGCTGCTCTGATGGTTGATCATTGTTCATGATATACATTTTCAATTAAATGCACCAAATGTACTGGGAAAACCTATCCTCTCATAACACTCCACAATTTCTGATGTTGGACACAATAAAATGCCTTGCTATAATCAATGAAACATGCATGATGATCTACGTTGTATTCTCTGCATTTTTCAAAAATTATTCTTATAATAAAGATGTGATCCCTGTCTGAAACCTGCTTGTGCTTCATGTACCTCATATAGTAGTTTCCTTTCAATCATCTTTATGATAATTCGTAAAAGGATTTTGCTAGCATGACTTATTAATGCGATGGTACGGTAGCTGGATCATTGTTTCAGATTTGCTTTCTTTGGGAGAGGGATATAGATTGTTCTTTTCCAGGCTTTAGACCAAATGGCGCTGTTCCAGATCCCCATGCACAGTACATGGTAGATTCAGACGCTGGCCTCCCCTCCTGCCTGAATTAGTTCTGCTTGTATTTCATCTCTGGTTCTTTTTCATAACTTTCATAAGTTGTTTGCAACAGTCTGCATATGAAGTCAGATCTGTAAAATGGATGTGCAGGCAACACTCAGGTTCTGGAACAAGTATAAATCCTAGAGGTAGTTGAAGAATCAAAACTTTCTGTCTGAGTTCATAGCCGGTGAACATGAAGAAGAGAAGAAGATGAAGATTCTGCCATATCATTTGAGACCTACAGGTGCCAATTAATTTATGTTTGCATTTTTATTAGTAATTGTTTTTGTCATTCCCCCTGTTTTTGAGGCATATAAAACATAGCAGGTAGTGTGAAATGTTCAACTTTTTATTTTCACAATGTCCAAGTGCTATGCACATTCTCTTTATGTTCTCTTTGCTTTATGACAAAATATAAAGGCAGAGTGTGGGTCCCAAAAGGGTCAGTGCTGCTAACACTAGCACAGTACCTCACCTCACCTTTTAAGAAATTTGCTAAATTATTTTAAACTTCCTGTTGGATGATCTGCCGGAGAGTGTGCAGTTTTGAATATCCATGTGCTTCACCTGGATATTTGAGTCAGGCTGGGACCTCAGCACCTCAACAGCTAAGTTATTTTTATGCCAGTGACTGTGTCTGTATGCTGACTGCCTTTCCAGAAGCAATGTTCCTTTTGACACTTGGGATTGTTTTCATGGGGTCCTTGCAAGTTCTATTTTCTGTGATGTTGCATTCCCTCCCATTTCCCTTTCCATGAAATTATTTATAGGCATGTAAAAAGCAGATAACACACCTATGTGTCCCAATGTATCTTTAAGTTTCCTTGAAAGCGAAGCAGCAGATGCAGTAGAGTGACGCATTGCGCAAGCATTCTATTAATTGTTCATCTGCTGTACTTTTTATGAGGGTCAGACCACTAGGTTATAACTGTCATTTGTCATTTCTTGTTGTGTTCTGCAACCATGTCTAGACACACTGCATGACTGAGTTCTGCAACCATGTCTAGACACACTGCATGACTGAGTTCTGCAACCATGTCTAGACACACTGCATGACTGAGTTCTGCAACCATGTCTAGACACACTGCATGACTGAGTTCTGTAACTGTGTCTGTCAACAATGACTTGTCCATGAACATATCAAGAAACACTGCAATGGTCCATAACTGAGTTCTGTAACTATGTCTAGAAATGCTGCATTTGTCAATTACTCATTCTGTAATCATGTCTAGAAATGCTGCATTTGTCCATTACTAAGTTCTGTAATCATGTCTAGAAATGCTGTATTTGTCCATTACTAAGTTCTGTAATCATGTCTAGAAATGCTGCATTTGTCCATTACTAAGTTCTGTAATCATGTCTAGAAATGCTGGATTTGTCCATGATGACCGGTGTTTGGTCATCACAACTCTTTCAGTACAAGAGAGATGCTCCTTGAGCTGGCTATAGCTTATTATTCAACTAATAAATGTTTGTGTTTCAAGGAGTTAAAATAATAACTACATGTCAAAGAAGAATTTCAAGTAACTAGGAAAGAGCGGAGTAAATTAACATGAGGGACAAGGGTTTAGGTATATTATATGATGGAAGTAGAGCCCAGCAAATGCAGGTGAGTTGCTTGCCAATTGAAGAGTTTAAGCTGAAGCATTTAGACTGAAGAAGGAGATAAAGCACCTGGTTCACAGTTCAAATGGCATCCGGTTCACAATGGACAGATGAGGAAAATACAATCCAGAATGAGGCAGGTATTTATGAGAACTCAGTGGTCAACTTCCCACCAAGAACACAATCCTAAAGACCCTATCAACCTTCTTATATGAAAGCAATAGACCATGGTATTTAAACTGTGGACAGGACACAACAGACTCTGCAGCCATATGTACAAGAAAAGTAAAACTGGGAGCTCACAACTTTGCCCATGTTGACAAGTGGGTCAGGTTACAGAATGTGTGCTACAGACATGCTCTCTTCTTGCAGGAGAAAGAACTCAGCTCTGGTCAATTGGAATTATGTTGGAAATCAAGCTGTATGGGCCCGTGAAGAATATGCTTCACATTATAGCCTTCGTAGAGGTCTTCTCATCCAAAAAACCACTGTCAGGAAAACCAAAAGAAGAAAGATGAAAAATTCCTAAGTGGGTGCTCAGCAATGTCCCTTTATTCTTCCAGAGCCTACATGGAGATACAGCAGGGCCACTCAACTAAGTTCACATAGAGCTAGGGCGACCAGATGTCCTGTTTCCACCGGGACAGTCCCATTTTTCCCGGTGTGTTTGGGCCGCACCTTCAGTACTGATAAAACTGCCCAATTTTATAAAAAGGAATAAGCTCGAGAATAGAAAATATACATTTATAGCTTTATCTGTAGACCTTAACTCTTTGAGTCCCAGGGGGTTTAGCATCAGAGGCCCAAGGGGTAGTCAAAAGAGATGTAAAATCGGCGCATCTTGCGTTCATTGGGCCCCTAGGCGGGAACCTATGAACGTATAATGCATTCTTTGGGACTCAAAGAGTTAACAGATTCAAAAGATTTATATATTTTTAATGCCAGAAATATAGTTAAGATACTCATGATGGATGACATTTACCAGATATATCTATCAATGACGGTGCTGGCTAAAGACACAATAATGGATGAGACTGTACCAAGCAAGAATTACTCTAACTCATTCTATCCAAAGACTTTAAGTAATAAATACTTGGCTCTAAGCAGCTGAAATAATAGCGCTAGGGAACAAGAGGAGTTACAGTAAGAAATGGGCCTGTATGGGCGAGTTTAACAACTGAATCAGCTCAAGAAAGTATATCATGTGGGAGGGGAAAAACAATAAAACAATATCACGAGTTGCTTAATATTGAATAAAGGATGCTGGTACCCTGATTGACGGTTCCAGTAAGGAGGGATGCATGAGGTAAGGAAGCTGACATGTTTAAAACTAGTCTGTTAGCATTCCCATATTACCATTCCGATAGGTAGTTATAGAACCCTTTTTACTTTGTCCAGCAACATGATGATGTCGATTCTTCATAAACCACACACCAAATGTAAATGTCTGTCTTCGCTGCCTGGATATAACCACTTTTTAAGACAGTGTAGAACAAAAAAAATGTTGGTTGCTTAATCTTTACAGGATGCACTGCAGAAGCATTTGTTGGCTGTTGTGGTTTTTCTAGGCAAATTTAACGTTCAGTAGTTTGCCATTGCTTTCTGAAAGGTCAGCGCTCAGTACCACTGTTGATACTGTCAATGCAAGACAAACCGTCTGCAGCTGGGATTAAACACAGGACCTCAGCATTAAGAAGCGCATTCACAACACCTAAGCCACAGACTCCGTCAAAGTAGGGACCCCCCGTCTCCCCCCCAAGGGGGGGGGGGGGAGGCAATCCTGAACATTAGGATTTAGGGCTGCTGGCTGAACTATGCAGTGTAGAATTTTTATTCTTGAAAGAGAAAAAAAGTTTTGCCTCACAAAGGGTTCAAACCCAGGTCTCAAACATGAAAGCCCAGCATTCTAACAGCTCAAAGGTTTAACCAGTATTCTCAAAACATGTACTCACTTTAATATCAGCATGTCCAGTGCTGCAACCTCGCCCACTGTCGCTGCTGGCCGCACTGTTCCGATTACTGTGGCCAGGGCTGTCTTTGGCTGGGCTTGACCCCCTCATGTCGCCACAAACCCCACCCGGGGGTGGAAGAGAAGTGGGGGCCGGAGACCCCTCCCCATTGTGTAGCAGATGACGCTTCAGCTGCTGCTCTTGCCCACACCCACTGGGAGGATGACTGTAAGCAGAGTTGTTGTTGCCGGCACTCAATGTTGGTCCAAAAGCAAACAGAGACTTGCCAAACTGTGGAGCAGCAATAACTTCATTCAGTAATCTAATGATGAATTACTAGAAGACGATTCTTTTAATTTAAACACGATTCTTTTAATTTAAACACGGTATAATCTCAACATGACCGTGGGACAGAGTCTAGTCACATGACACCAGAACAGATTATACACACATCCTCACACTACTAAATCCATGGTCTCTTTGCATTCTTTGTTACATATCATCTCCACAAGGAAGGCTGGCTGAAGTGTATGCACTGTGGTCTTTTAGAATATTACAGATAGGAATAGGACCTATTCTCTGACACAGTTCGACTCTTGTAACACTGACTGAAAGCCATGAGAATGGTTCTCTTTCGACTGAGGTGTTTAAAGGTGAGAGGATAGTAATCTGGTAATCTTAGTTTCAGCTTCACAGCAAACGGATCCACCCCATAGTTGCTCCACTTCTGTGCCACCAAAAAACACACAAAATGTGGGGTGGACTTCCCTTTAGCTCATTTTTATCCCATACAGTTTGGTCATGTCTTTCACCCAGTCTTTGAAGAAGAAATTTAGAGCTTTTGAACTGAAATGCTTCAGAATTATTTTTTTGGGGAGTGAATATCATGGATCAAGAAGAAAAATAGATCAACATCAATGACCTGAACATCAAGGAGAACTGGCTCATAAACAGCCTCCTCTTCCAAAATAAGGGATATTTGGGACATATCAAGGGCCATGGTTGTCTGGAGATAACAGTGATGAAAGGTACAGTTTAAGGAAAATTATGCAGAGGCTGACCTCCATGAAGGTGGATATAGCACACTGAAGATGCATTAGCTAAAAAAAGCACATAGGGTTGGAGAACTGCTAGAGAAAGATAGACATGCTGATTGACTGATAGTTTGATCTCTCTTGAAAGAGCACTGCAAAAAGCAAAAAGATCTGTAACTCCATTGATGACCCCCATCTGTACTTATTACCAAAATGAAGTCCAAACTAAAACTCATAACTTCCAAAGCACGAGACAAATAGCTAAACCAAGGAAATCTCAGAAAACAAATGACTTTGAGGATAATGATAATAGAAAACTATTACTGCCAGTGGAGTCAAAACTGTGAGATAAGAACAAGTCAAAACGTACGAGTTGAAAACAGCTAATGAATGTGCCAACGTAGCAATATGGTACTAGACCAAGACATATCTTTCCTGCTTCATAACTAACGAATAACAAAGGAAAACTCATTGCAAAACAAATAAATAAACACACACACACACACACATATATATATATAATATTTGCACTCAGAGGTTGTCTTTATGTAGGATCATAATTTTCAGGGAAATAATTATCTGTTTGAACTGACTTTCTACCCCACTAGGACATCACACAAGCAATAAACACCCAATAACACAAAGTGCCACCATGTGGATGAGGATCAACAGTGGAGAGGCCCCAGAAATCACGTTCAGCCAACAGACCATATTTAAGGCCGGGTTATATTGCGGCCCCTGTCAAGAGCCAGGGTAGGGCTTCAAAATAACTAAAAATTGCACCCCTCAAGGGGATTACTAAGGTTGACTATTATCAGTTTTCAGCTAACACTTTCAAATGCTGACCTTTGCTGAATATCACTTCTGGGTTGAAATCATTAGAAATAAACTCTTCCCCAAAGTGGAAACGTTTCTATATCTACATTTATATACCCACAGGCGCAATAATTTGGAATTTTGCCATGTGTGATCAGATGAAGCTGAAACAATACTGATATTCAATGGCCTAACACTTACGTCCCAAATGTTGACGTACAATGCCACATTCACTGTGCAGTAATGTACTGCCGGAATCATACAGCCGCTACATGAGCTATGGTCCTTATCTCCAAACTGAACTACAGGCTATGTAATCGTCAGGTGCCCTAATAGTGCTGTTCTATGCGGGTTAAAGGGCATCCTGAGATCTGTACCCATTTGATTCTTATCCTTCTCCCACTACCCGGTTAAATAATTAATCAGAAATGTTGGGCGGCTCATGTGGAATTTCCAGTGTCCCAGGGATTGAAGAACACTGGTTGAGACCATTATCTGATAACCACCACTGTTTCCATAAAAGAATATTCTGAAAAATGATCTGCTGCCTACTGTTTTACCTAGTGTTTCTGAATGGTGCTGGTAGAGAAACAGAGAGCTCTGCCACTGGTAGGGACAGAACCCTGCTACTGGTAGGGAATTAACCCTGCCCCAGTTAAGGACTGAACCCTACCACTGGTAGGGACTGCATCCTGCCACAGTTAAGGGCTGCACTCTGCTACTGGTAGGGACTTAACCCTGCTACTGGTAGGGATATAACTCTGCCACGGGTAGGAACTTAACCCTGCCACTGGTAGGGACTTAACCCTACTACTGGTAGGGACTGCATCCTGCCACAGTTAAGGGCTGCACTCTGCTACTGGTAGGGACTTAACCCTGCTACTGGTAGGGACTTAACCCTGCCACTGGTAGGGACCTAACCCCGCCACTGGTAGGGACTTAACCCTGCCACTGCTAGGGATTTAACCCTACCATTGGTAGGGACTGCATCCTGCCACAGTTAAGGGCTGCACTCTGCTACTGGTAGGGACTTAACCCTGCCACTGGTAGGGACTGCATCCTGCCACAGTTAAGGGCTGCACTCTGCTACTGGTAGGGACTTAACCCTGCCACATTGAGCCCTGGCTAGCTTTGTCAGCCAGCACACTAACTACTATAGTACATTATTTCTAGCAGTTACTTATCATGCAAAACAATGAACATTTTTATCGTCAGTAATTTTCTACCAGCCTCTCACAGACTGAACTTGGATCCACCTAAGCCTCTTTCAACTCTGGCTTGAACCACCTCTAGCTTGAATCCGCTCCATAGATTTACGTATGCAACTGTGTCACATAACACGTTTCAGCTCAGTTACAACTGTTTTAACACCCCCCCCCAACCCCTAGCAGCTAACAATACCTACTAATTTATTAACAAACAATTAACCAATAAATCCGCCTGTATCGTTTTAACGATTAAAAAAAAAGTATGAATCCAAAGAAGAGACAACTGGAACTCTTTCTGAAGATTCTCGAGGATACACTAGATGGGGAGGATGGAAGGCAGAAGCTGCACTGTGTGCTGAGCAATCCTTGCCTGTGACTCTGGAATCCCTAACCATACCATAATCAATGTATTCTTATTATGAGCGACCTCTCGGATTTATCACTGCAGCAACATATACCACAATGGGTACGAACAATGGGCAGAGGAGACAATAGATTGAGCACATGATGGGCATGGATAGAATGAGCATTCTGTCGGAGAATGAGCATTCTGTCGGGAAATGAGAAACAGGCTATTGATGTCTGACAAGCATTGTGTGATTGCTTGCAGTTGTGCTGTAGGATCTCATGTGCTTTCTTAATATCCTACCGCAAACAGCGGAAATCCAGAGGTCACAGCACCTGTAATGTCCTAGTGGGGTAGAAAGTCAGTTCAAACTGATAATTATTTCCCTGAAAATTATGATCCTACATAAAGACAACAATGGGCAGAGGAGACAATAGATTGAGCACATGATGGGCATGGATAGTATGAGCATTCTGTCGGAGAATGAGCATTCTGTCGGGAAATGAGAAACAGGCTATTGATGTCTGACAAGCATTGTGTGATTGCTTGCAGTTGTGCTGTAGGATCTCATGTGCTTTCTTAATATCCTACCGCAAACAGCGGAAATCCAGAGGTCACAGGGCAGTCTAATTTTTCAGGGGGTGGTAGATAAACTGCATGCAGCTGTGGGACCTTGGTTGCACTCTCTCGTGGGACGTAGGTGGGCTGGGGTTAGGGCCAGTTCTAGATGTTTTGGAGTCGTTACAAGCATAAGAAACCCACTCTTACCACCCTCTAAAATGTTGGACTTTTCTGTGACATCATCTGGGGTAGGATATTACTAAAGAACCGGATCTCATTCATTGGGAGATTAGATCTCTATCTGGGTTATAGTGGATTCCACGCGACGACTTTCTAGACATTTGTGCACTAGTGTTTTTGTTTTGTTTTTTGTTCAAATAGCAACAAAGACTTGACTTGCTTGTGTGGTTATGTGTCAGACATGTTTTAAAAGAATCGTTTCACGCTGGTAGCGAATCGAACATACAGTGATAAACCACAGTTTATACAAACCAATCGGCACTGAATAAGTGGTACAAATCATATCGATCGCCGGGGTCCAAATGGAGCAATGATGCGCAATACAAGACTCGTAATGTCTATTAGCCTCTCTTGCTCAAACCTACCTCACCTTCACGTGGTGGACCCTGTTCTTCCCAGCAATCCAGTTGAAGGTTGGGGTTTCAACCCCCAGTGGGAAACTGGATGGGACAACAAACGAGGTAAAGGCGAAAGACGAAGGGATGAGCCTACTCTCCTCGAGTATGACCACAGTCTACCCTTGCAAAACAAGGTGCTAAAGTCGGAGGCAACCAGCCAGGAGGCGCACCACAGCAATCAGGATGCCACGCACACACGCCATGGAAATATGTCGAAATCAGCAAAACGATATGGTGCTCGCCCCGTGATGGACTCTCAGGCAACAGCAGAGCATGTACTCCAGAAACGTACATGTCAACATTTATCAGCAGACCCTCCACTGGGAGCCAGTGTGCTGCAGAAACGTACATGTCAACTGTTATCAGCAGACCCTCCGCTGGGAGCCAGTGTGCTGTAGAAACGTACATGTCAACTGTTATCAGCAGACCCTCCGCTGGGAGCCAGTGTGCTGTAGAAACGTACATGTCAACTGTTATCAGCAGACCCTCCGCTGGGAGCCAGTGTGCTGTAGAAACGTACATGTCAACTGTTATCAGCAGACCCTCCGCTGGGAGCCAGTGTGCTGTAGAAACGTACATGTCAACTGTTATCAGCAGACCCTCCGCTGGGAGCCAGTGTGCTGTAGAAACGTACATGTCAACTGTTATCAGCAGACCCTCCGCTGGGAGCCAGTATGCTGTAGAAACG